AATGACATAACATTGATCACTTTCCTAATGTGCACCAACACACTACTGCTCTCTACTTCTATTTAGAGGTGAAATTCACAAATGAATATTTAGTGGGAACTGGGAGGAATGAACCTCAGTTGTGGTGATATGCGAAATCACTTTTGGAAGCTGCCAAATTGATAGTTCTGGTGACTTGAAAAAAAGTCATCTCCACCCGTTGATGTGGACGTGAACCCGGATTGGCCAAGCCCGGTTCCTTGACCCATGGCTCTGCCCATGTAAAATGTAGTAGGCCCTTTTTCTTTCACATCTGACCCATCGGTCAATCCACCCACGATGCCTATGTCTGCAAGGTTGACCTTTTTGGCTGCAAATTTCGGGGGAGATACAGAATAAGTACAATCATCTATAAGATGAGTAACTGTAGCCTAGTTCTACTTTAAAGCTAACAGATTTAAACCAAATATCTAATGGTAAGCATACTATATACAATTGTTCAACCACCAAAAGGTCACTGGTGGAACCATAAAGGTTCCTCTACCCTTAACCAGAGGTCTTGGGTTTGAGCCCTGAGAATGGAGTTCTCTTTGGTAGGGACTAGGGAGCACTAAAACTCCCGTAGTGAGCTTCTACAACGTGAATCCAAATTAATAGGGCCACTGGCTTCCAGACACCGTATGGTTAAACCAAAAAAAATGTAGTTGTTCAACAGAATGTTGCCAGTGATAACAGAGAACAGAAACTTACGTGCAGAGATATTCAGATCAATCAGTCCACGGCTCAATGAATCAGCCCATATTCCAGACCTGACTTGAAAATCATCCTTCTTTGGTGCGGGCTTAGCTTCGACAGAAGATTTATCTAATTTGCTAGGAGTCTCCTCCTGATTCCCACCACGATTAGCATTTTCACTGGCTACTGATACAGGATCAGCATGAGAAACAAATGTACCAAAGGGATCAGAACTATCAAAGGTATTTAGTGGAACTGCAGCAAACGGATCAACCGTAGTAGCATTTATCTTGTCTGATTTAGGAGATCTGATATCGGATTGTACAACAGGATCTGGTGCAGAAAAAAAATCTATGGTTGAAGGAGCTGCAGATGAAGAGGCAGGCTGAGAAGCAAACAGATCTACACTTATCTGCAGAAAAGACAGACGGCCAATTTTAAACCAACAAACCAAAAAGCAAAATTGCGAAAAAAACATGATGGAGTGTTGCACACTGGAGCCTGAGAAGCTACCCTCACCTCAGACTGTGGTTTCGCCAATGCAAAATTGGCATCAGCAAATAAATCAACCTCTGATGGATGACTGGAGACAGTAGAATTATCAGCTGGAACAGGTGTTGGTACATCCAAGAGGTCACCAATCAAATTTTGTCCAAATAGATCTACTTGGTCAGATTT